TACGAAATAAAAAATTTGCTGAAAATAAATTCCGCTTCTTCAAAAATTATAAAATTTTATTTTTATGATTACCTCTATAAATTCAATAATATATATAGGATGATAAAAAATGGCGGATGAGCTCGATGGTATGTTGTTGACAGGCTACTGAAGAATTTGAAAATAATGGTTTAAAAAAATCCCTGCATCAATCTTTTGAAAATATTAAACTTCGTAATTTTGATCTGTGTTAATGAATTTTATGTCATTATTAATTTAATAATAATTTGTTTCATTACGACCCATAAAACCATTTTTTACTGTTGGCAGATGTCGTTTTAGACCATTTTTATTGGAATTTTAGACTTTTAATTAAATTCACATTAAAACATCAGAATTACGAAATTAATTCTTCAACTTTAAAGTTTAATATGATCAAAACTTAACAATATTTTTCGAGTTCTTCGAAGACTTCTTAACGACGTACCATCGAGTTTTTCCGTCATTTTTTCATCACCCTGTATATTACAGTTAAAAAAAAAAACAAAATCCCATGAGCGGTTCGAACGCGCGACCTTAGGCGATACAAATTCAAACCCCTGTGCCATCTATAAAAGGTTATTATACAGTCTGGATCTTTTTTTTGTGAAAATTTGGATGGCTAGGGTAAAAACTCAAGGCGGATTCATAAACCACAAGTACAAGAGGGTGTCAGTAAATTGTTGGTGGGAATGAGCGCACAAATTTTGGTTAGCATGTACATGAATTTCCGAACGTTCATATAAAATTTGACAATAAGAGACGACAGACAGACAGACAGGGAGAACGGCAGACCTACTGTTTCATATTCTAGGAGTCTACCTTACGCTTACTCTGGAAGTAACATATTTTTTGTAAACGATTCCTTTTTTATTCACTTTGTTCTAAAAATATGGTATTAGGTAGAACTTCCCTCGCCTTGGAGTACAGCACAACAAATCAAATCTTCGAAAAGTCATAAAATGTGATTGTGTGAATTTTTTTACTGCTATAAGCTAAAACAAAATGTATATGGACTATTAAAGTGAGGTAAAGAATTAAATGACAGATCTTTGTTTCAAACAAATTTTTACATATTCAAACAGAAAAATGGATGGTTTATTGAGAACTTTCCGCAGATTACAAATCTGAAGTCCTTGATGTAATTTTTCTTTAATAAACGAGGAATATGAGAACTTATTTTTAAAAAAATTCTAAAAAAATACTTTTTGCGAAAATTTCTTTTTTTTTTATAAAACGTTGGTTTACTAAAACGGAAAATTTGCTCGTTTTTAGAGAATCGGTCGTTGAAATATTTTTTGCAGTATCACTTTAAATTAGCCAGGAAAGTAAGAAAATATTTTTCAAAAATTTGAAAGACGGTTTTTTGAAAAGGTAAAAAGTGCCTCTAATTGAAAGGTAAGAAGTGCGAGTTTATAAATGACACTTTGTAGATTACGAATCTTTTTCGCGATATCTCTTCAAATAACCGAGAAATTGAGAAACAAAATAACAAAAATTAAAAACCATTCAAAGCGGCTCTATTAAAGCAAAAAAAGAATTCTAAGCTGACTATGAATTTGAAATCCTTTTCGCGATATCACTTCAACTGTGAATAAAATGAGAAAATAACTTCCAAAAATTTTGAATTTTTTTTTGGGGGACTTTAAAAGTGGATCTATACAAACAGAAAAATAGATAGTTTATCGAGAATTGTTCGCAGATTACAAATCTGAAGTCCTTTATGTAATATCTCGTCAAATAAATGACAAAAGTGAGAAAATATTTTTGCGAGATTTGAAAACTGGTTTTTTGAAAGGGTTAAAAGTGCTTCTAATTGAGAGGAAAGAAGTACGAGTTTATAAATGATATTTTGTGGATTACGAATCTGAAATCCTTTTCGCGATATCTCTCCAAATAGCCGAGAAATTGAGAAATAAAATAAAAAAATTCTAAAAAATCTTTAAACTGACCAAAATGGCCCTATTAAAAACAAAATCTCTACAGAGAATTCTAAACTGACTATGAATTTGAAATGTTTTTCGCAAAATCACTTCAACTGTGTGAATAAAATGAAAACATAACTTCCAAAAATTTTCAAAAATTTTTTTGGGGACTTTAAAAGTGGATCTATACAAACAGAAAACTAGATAGTTAATCGAGAATTGTCCGCAGATTACAAATCTGAAGTCCTTTATGTAACATCTCGTCAAATAAACGAGAAAAGTGAGAAAAAATTATTTTTGAAAGATTTGAAAAGTGGTTTTTTGAAAGGGTTGAAAGTGCTTCTAATTGAGAGGAAAGAAGTACGAGTTTTTAAAGATATTTTGTGGATTACGAATCTGAAATCTTTTTCGCGATACCTCTTCAAATAGCCGAGAAATCGAGAAACAAATTAAAAAAAAATGTAAAAAATGTTTAAAACTGTCCAAAACGGCTCCATTAGAGCAAACAATGTCTATAGAGAATTCTAAACTGAATATGAATTTGAAATTGTTTTTGCGAGATCGTTTCAAACCATTTGAATAAAATGAAAACATAACTTTCAAAAATTTTTTTGGAGACTTTAAAAAATCAAACAAAAAAATAGACAGTTTATCGAGAATTATTCGCAGCTTACAAATCTGGAGTCCGTTATGTGATATCTCGTTAAATAAACCATGAAAGTGAGAAAACGTTGTTCAAAAATTTAAAAGGCGGTTTTTTGAAAAGGTCAAAAGTGCCTCTAATTGAGAGAAAAGAAGTGCGAGTTTATAAGTGACACTTTGTTGATTAGGAATCTGAAATCCTTTTCGCGATATCTCTTCAAATAACTGAGAAATCGAGAAACAAAATAAAAAAATTCTAAAAAATGTTTAAAACTGTTCAAAGCGGCTCTATTAAAGCAAAAAAAGAATTTCTCTAAGCTGACTATGAATTTGAAATCCTTTTCGCGAAATCACTTCAACTGTTTGAATAAAATGAGAAAATAACTTCCAAACATTTTCAAAAATAATTTTGGGGACGTTAAAAGTGGATCTATACAAACAGCAAAATAGATAGTTTATCGAAAATTGTCCGCAGATTACAAATCTGAAGTCCTTTATGTAATATCTCCTCAAATAAACGAGAAAGTGAGAAAATATTTTTGAAATATTTGAAAAGTGGTTTTTTGAAAGGATTAAAAGTGCTTCTATTTGAGAGGCAAGAAGTACGAGTTTACAAATGATAATTCGGAAAACAACAAACAAAATAAAAAAAATCAAAAAATGTTTAAAAGCGTTCAAAATGACTCGATTAAAGAAGAGAAAGAACTAATCTATAGACAAAATGAGAAAATTTAATAACTACCAAAAATTAAAAAAAAAAATAGTAGGAACTTTAGAAGTGTATCTATTCAGACAAAAAAATGGAGAGATATTTTGTGTAATAACTCTTTTATAAAACATTTTTCAAAAATTGCTCTTTTTTTTAATATTAAAGTTGACTCTAGCGGACCGGAAAAAAAGATTTAAACCTACCAAGAATTTTCCACAGGTTTCAAATCTGAAATGGTTTCTGTAATATCTCTTCAACTAACCAACAACTAACTGTTGGTGAACATTTTCCAAAAATTTCTTTTATTTTTTATCGTGGCTTTATTTAATAAACAAAAAAATTTCTAATTTTTAAAGAATCATCTGCAGATTATGAACCCGAAATATTTTTTACAGTATCACTTTAAATAAGCGAGGAAAGTGAAATCATATTTTTCAAAAATTTGAAAAACGAGTTTTTCAAAGCGTTAAAAGTGTCTCTAGTTGACAAGAAAGTTTTTGCAAAAATGACAGATTTTTACAAAATAGTATAAACTAAGACAGAATAATTTTTTTTCCGTATGCGGTTTAAGCAGTATTGTACGATTGATTCTTATGGAAGATCAGTCGGCGCTATTTCTAGCCGATTTGAGCGTAACATCAGCCTTAAGGGGATATTGTTGGAGAACTCACGTTGTAAATATTTGAACACAACTACAGTCAAAATGGATAAAAGCCCACTTATTTAAATCTACAACCCCTATCATATTGTCTTTTACTGAAATTCAACTCATTTTGGTTTCGTAAATTGTTAATAATTTTAAAATTAAGTTTGGTATAAAAGTTAGAGAACGTTTATTAATAATAATATGAACATTAAGAACATAAATACTTTGTTTTATAAAAAGCAAAGTTAGATATAGATGTGTTAAGGACGGCTGTATTTAAAAGTACAAAACAAAGGAAAACTCCTTGGGAACAGTTCTGTGTCCAGTATTATTTAATCCTTGTACGTAAGCGTAATTTTTATCGCTGTCTGAGATCTTTAACTACAAGTAAAACATTGCTTCTTAAATTTGAGATAACATCTGACATATATATATCTCTCTCTCTTTCTCTTGTACAGCAATATAGGTATTTTTGCTTTTCGAACCAATTATTTTTTAATATATTTTCACAAGTCTTTGAAATTATGTAATGTTTAATTATCTTACACAGTTTCATGTATTGTAGCGAGACCTTCTCCATGTTAATTTTCATTTTCTATTAATTAGTCAATTTCTTCATAAAGTCATTGTTTTACGATTAATTTAAAAAAAAAAGATCGTTAGCTGATGACTTTGTAACAACTTCACATATAATAATATTATAAATTTCGAAACCCAATCTTGTTAATTGTGTTGTTAAATTTTGCGTAGCTCTAAAACCTAGCAGACTTTATTTTCTGACACGAAGTATCAGTTCGAAACTTTACACAACGGAAAAGAACATACGAAATAAACTTGGAAAAGTGTCGTTCTTGAAAAACACGTGTTCCTACACTTGTTACAAACTTGCCAACAAAACCGAAAACGAATCCGTTCTCAACTTATCAATAATCACAACACCACTAGTTAGTTTCGCAGCGGATAGCTCTTATCTACACGATTTAATTTATTAAAATATTAATAATGGTGCGAATGGAGTCAGTCATTCATAAATATTAAACCAGGAACGAAATCGACTTACTTGAATATTTAATCAACCCGAACCGCAGCACACACACTAAACAATCCTGAGCTTGAAAGCTTGAGCAGGCAATTTGTTTGAGATTCGCTCCTTGCCGTCGTTATTCCGCAAATTACGGTAAATTATCCTCATGCACTGTAAGAGGTAAAATAAGCGGCAGAGTCTGAAACCGAACTGGTAGCGAATTGTTTGTGTAAAGTAGAGCGACCACGAGTCTGCATGAAGCGTTTTGATGCATTTAGGGGGAGTTCCTCATGCGTGTCCACACTGCATACATCGCTCGTTTCGTACCCAGAAATATAAATATTTAAATTCGAGCCGAAAACAAAGCACATAAAAAGTTATCGTCTGTTCGGCGGCGTCCTGCTCAAAATTCTACAGCCAGCCTCACCTGAAACTCGTTCGAGAAGAAAAGAACTTACTTTCGTAACTCATCAAATCAATAAGAGCTTATCAGAATCACATTTTTGTCTTATGTGGGATTTCTTAGTAGACGGGGCTTAATGTGTTGAGCTTTTCGCCGATTCGTGTTCTGCCTTTCGCGAAATTAAACGTTTATTTGAGGTGAAACATCAAAGTTTTATCGGGCTTTGGGGTTTCAGAAGTTTCAGTTCTTGCGTGTCGGGGAGGTAAAGCGAAAAAATAAATATGTGCCGTGATTTTTATACATTTGGAAAATACGGCTTCTTCCATCGCAAAGTGCTGTAATAAATCTTTAGAAAAATATTCAGCTTCCCGGGATGTATAGAATGGTTCGTGGACGGTGTAAGCTCTGCAGAAAACACACCCTTAAAATTTTTGATGGTCTTTCAAACTCAAATGTTTAAATATGTCGTGGGGTATTTTCTCAACAAAAGTTGCTTTACTGTGAATTTCCGGGAGCGTAATTTCCTGACGAAGGTACTTAAAACTGGTTATGTGTTTGGTGGATTTTACGGTATTTGCAGGATTTTATTTTCTGGGGCCTGTAATAGTATGTTTATTCGGTCAGTAAAAATGGAACGTCTTTTGAATGCCGTTGGCAGGAAATTGAATATATTATTCCCTTCAATTTATCTATGTTACTTTAGCGATTTCCGTTTGTCGGTCGTCGAGGGAATGCCAGAAGCGGTTTTTGGTTAAAAAGGAATTAGTCATGGGTAATATTTAAAAATAAGAAATGTAGTTGTAACGCGAATAATCTAATAATAGTAAAGTAATAATAAAATAATTGTACTTTCTACATTTTTTATTCCACTGGTTTCTCTATCTTGTTGCAGAACGGTGGCTCACTTTTCGCTAAGTCGCTAAATATTATCTATAGCATTGCTAAAACCTATTCAATGAACGCATATTGTTTTCCTAAGAATTAGTGCTTTCCTCAGAATGAAACAGAGCTAATTTAAATAAATTAATAATAATGTTTATTTGAGCGTTATAATACATAATAAAAAATATAAAACAGCTCTAAACGATAAATTAGAAGGTTCATTTTCCACTCACAACATACATCGGTTATGACTTCTTGTGGTATTTATAATTTTTGTCCATGTGCAATATTCAGAAAATTACGATCGAAGTATGGAATAAAATATGTGTTAAACTTGTTGCCTACTATTTAACGCCAACATTATGTGTGAGGTTTATATTAAATTTTACAACACAGTTGGATAATTATTATAATTATTATCCAACTGTCAAAAACTCGATGACAATTTTCATTAATTTAATATTACGGCGATGTAATTTTCGAAAACGTTTCGAAAAATTTGCAAAGACGATAAAAAAACAAAAAAGCGTCTAAAAAATGGCATCCTCTACTTGGACGCTTTAGCGGAATAAATTCAATAAATTTACTATTTTTTTAATTTTTTCTTATAGATTACCTGCCTTATATAGTAGTGCGGTGTTTAAACATTTTTTGCAAAAATTTACTAAACTAAAAAAAAAAAGAAAACAGAGTAAGATGCAGTAATATAATACAGGTTGTTCTATTATTTTGTTATATTTATATACAGGGTGTGTCAATAAGTAAGCTGCTCGATATCTTCTCATTAATTATTATTAGAACTAGAAAAAAATGGTCGAGGATTAAAGTTGTACAGTTATTTGAGGACCATATACCAAAATTATTTTCAACTATACAGAGTGTTTTGTTTTTAAACCGTAACACAACTTAATTCTTTCCACTACATTACCCTATATATTTTTATATATTCAGATTGCTCTCTTTTTAGGCTTTATAACCAGAATTTATTTTCCAAATTCCGACGCGAAGTCGAAAAGTTATTCCAATTTTGTTAAATTTTTTTAGCAATGAAAGGGTTTACAAAAAAATATTACAATAAGGTTATTTTTGAAACCTCTCTTGTGGAAAGTTAAATACGGATTCCCGCTTTGTTGTGGTATAAATAAAATTTGGTTTTAACATACAAATTTAAATTGTCACAATTTAATTTAATTACTGCATATTATTCTGTTTTTTTTCTCTTTCATTTTTGTCAAGTATTTTCTGTATTTAAGGTTGATACTTGACTTTTTACTTTTTCAAGGGACACACCGACATGTTGAAAGAAAGAAAACAAAAAAATAGAGTAAGATGCAAAAACAAATACAGGTGGTGATTCCTAAATTGTAAAGTTTGATTTTTTATAAACTAACTAGACTGTTTGTTAAAACTTTATTTAAAAGTCAATTGCCAAAATCAGTTTTATCTTACCAGATACTAGCCCCACCCACCCACCCTCTGTTTTATTAGAAGGTATCTCATTTGCCAAAATCGCTCTTATTTTACAGGTACTAGCCCCGTTCACCCGCCCTCTATTTTCTTAAAAGGTATGTCATTTGCCAAAATTAATTTTATTTGCTAAGATAAGACTGATTTTGGCAAATGACAATCCTCTGATAAAATAAGCGGCGGGTGGGCGGGGTTAGTACTTGCTAAGATAAAACTGATTTTGGCAAATGCCATACCCTCTAAGAAAATAGAGGGCGGGTGGGCGGGTCTAGTACCTGTTAAGACAAAACTGACTTTGACAAATGATACCCTTTAAGAAAAGAGAGGGTGGGCCGGGCTAATTCTTGCTAGATAAGAGTGACTTTCCTAAATGAGATATCCTGTAAGGAAAAAGAGGGCGGATGGGCGGGGCTAGTACCTGCTGAGATAAAACTGATTTTGGCAAATTAGATATCCTCTAAGAAAAGAGAGGGCGGGTGGGTGGTGTTAGTACCTGCTAAGATACGACTGGTTTTAGCAAATGACGTATCCTCTAATAAGAAATTTAATTAACTTATAAGAAAATACGCTAGAGAGTCCAAAGCACTTTCAAATTCTTTCCAAACGGAATACCTAGAACTCTAATAAGATTGTTTTAAATAAAAAAAAACGAGGCCCCAAAATTAACTCAAAAACAGGTCAGGTCTGAATTTTCCAAAAACAGAACACGAAAATCCAAAACAATTACAAAAAAAATCTCGGTGGGCTCCCAAAATAATACACCATGGGTAGCCAAGACTCTCTCGAATTAAAAAAAAAACACTACGGCACTCAAAACTTTTTCAAATTCTTAAAAAGTAAAACATTAGAAGCTCTAAAGACTTTTTCAAGTTCATCCAGCAACAAAACATTAGTTTCCTTTAAATTAATCCTAAAATAAAACACCAGGGGACCTAAAATTAACTGCGAATTTTTAAACGTAGGATTTTGAAAACGCGAGGGTGGGTGGGCGGGGCAAGTTTTGATACGTCAAACATTTTTAACTCGATTTTTGCTGATTTGTACCTTCGCTTTATATCAAGCAAACATTGTTGTCAAATGGAATTTTTTCAAATTATTACAAATACAACATGGGCGAGAGAAATATTCACTAAAAGGTTTATTAGAACTTAGTAGTTATTAGTGAATGTGTTGTTTATTTGTTATGTAGCAAAAGAAGGAATTCTCCAATCATTATAACTCCACCAAAACGTGAGAAGGAATTTTTTGATTATTTTTTTCCAGATTCGCCAGTTGAATGCAGCGTAGCAGAGAGTTAACCCGCCATTTTTCAGACACCCGGTATAGGGTGTTTCATTTTAGAAAATTATTATTATTTCAATATTTATACAAATGTAATTTACCCAAATTCACAGCAATTAAATGTAATCAACTGTTGATTTTTAATTTTAAATATCATCAAATGTGTCTAAATGTACTTGTACTTCTTGCAGATACACAATACATATTTAGTTTACAATTTTTTAAATAATTAATTACAGTGAAACCTCCTGTAACGAACACCCCCCAACAGCGGACTATTTTCACTGTCCCAACCCATAAAATAGGTCATTTAAGATAAAGAATCCTCCAAACAACAGACACGGACAGTAAAATTGGCGCATTTTTAGTTAGTTTCTTTGTAAAATCACCTCTTCACAACAGACAGGTGATAGGTAAAGCGGTCCCGAGATTAGACCGTACAATAAAATTTAAAGATTAGGCCAACAGATTCTCGGTACCAGGGCATAACTCCCTTCAATCCCACAGTGCTCATAATACGAGTAAATATGGGTTTTTCCCAACGAGCAGAGTTGGGGTGGTTTTGTTTGTCCTGTCCCCGTAGGTGTCCGTTGTGGAGAGGTTTCATTGTATACTCAGTTAAAATAAGTGCAGATAATCACAGCTGATTATTGTTTCTAACATTTCGTTGTCGTTTGTTGATTGGACGTAATTTTAATTAATTAATTATAATAATACAGTTGTATTTAATTAATTAAAGTTAATTACTCTTAGTTATTTTACCTGTTAAATGATCTCCGTTAATTTAATCCCAATTACATTTAATTACAGTTCATTAGTCCTTAATAACGGTTAAGCTCTTTTGATCAATAATCAATTAATTAGCCAATGTTTTACATTTTTATAAATTACGCCTATTATGATTAATTATAGTTACTAATTACTAATTAATACTCACATTCAGTCTGTACAAAGTACTGAATTATATATTATATTATATATGTTAGACGCGGTAATTCCTTATTTACTGTAACAGAGTGGCTATCAATCAATCTATTTTAATTATTTTTTGTTAATTTAATAATTGTGTATGGATGGGTACGTTATTATTAGTGAAATTATTTATTAATTTAGGAGGAATTTACATTACGATTTTGCTGTAACTACAACTCCTACCTGCGGAAAAGACTTCTAAAACCTTCATAAAGCAGCGTAATTGTGAAAATAAAATATTAGTTGTTTTGTCTTCATATACCATCTAAAAACGTGTTACACAAATTTTGCGGTTTAATTTGGCTTTCAAAATTTTGATTAACTTATCATCAAGTTTAGCGTCTATCTCTTATCGATATCTCCGTTAGTAAAAGCGTTATTGCTTGGACGACAAAATCTGAATCACCTCTGTGTTTAACAAATAAGAAAACGCGGCAAAACAAAAGCTAGAAGTTAAAAAATTAAATTATATCTGTTTTTATTACACAGAATCACGCGTTTTACCAGTTAGCTTAAGTTCTTTAATTCACGTGACTCACAGACATCTTGTTACGCTTCCACCAGCAATCTGTTCTTTTTCTTGATGTGGGATAGTAGACACATCCAGACGGCGCTAGGTTATGTTATTTTTTTTCCATTAGGGATACGGCAAGTGAATAAAACACCAGTTTGAAATGGTTTCAACGATATTTATTCATCTTTGGTTTGAATTAAAAAGAATGAATTACCTATTAAAAATTTCTATTAAAAAGTGTAACAAAATCTGAATAGTAATGGCTCTCATAACAAATATCGTAGACTTTTTAGTTCCAAGTATTGCTAGAATTTAATTGATTTTATAGTTTTGATTCAACATTATCTTACAAAAAATAAAGAATACACATTTGCTATTTAGGCGAGAATTTAGAATACAATTTTTTTAATATCATTATCTTTAAAATCGAATATTGTTGTACACTTTGATTCTACTTGTTGAACATTGAATCTAATAATAGTCGTAATATTAACTACATACAGTTCTAACTAGACTTATATAATAAGTCCATAAGTTAAGGTGTACCATAATAGTTTACAATACAAGACTAGCTTAGAATTCTAAATACGAGAACATTTTATATTTTACGCATTTGAAAACAGAAAAAAAAAGTAATAACAAAATAGCGCATTTAAAAATATAATCACATTTCACTTAGGGGAATCATTAAAAACAACCGCAATAAAACTGTTACTAAACTATCACATTTTTCGTCTTAATAAGGAATTTAAAATTTTTAAAACATTCTAAATTATTCAATCATATCCGCTTAACATGCAATATATCAACTTCTATTTACTGTTATATCTGATAGATGCTCTTAGAATATAACTTGTACTACGTTTCAATTCTCTGCATTGCTTTTTGGGCAGTCTTCTTTTGATTTAATTCTGGATACAACTATACAAACTGGACCTCTTACTATTCGCAGCAAGTCGATGATCTCATTGGTACTTAAATGCTCCACACTCTCGTCGTTCACCTACGAAACAAATACTTATTCAAACATGAGTCTCACCCACCGCCACCTTACCTTTATCACTCGATCTCCCGGTTTTAATCTACCGTCCCTAGCAGCCACGCTATCCGCATGCACGGCACTTACGTACGTCACCCCCGCAGCCCCCTGCAGACTGAACCCCAACCTACTGTTCCATCCCCTGTTCAGCTCAATCGCAAGGATCTACAACAAACCATTAAAAATCCGATTCGCCCTGCAACTCCCACCTCATACTTCATATTCTTCCTCGATGGTCATCTTCGGCACTTCCTCCTTCTCGTCGTGCCCCTCGAACACCACCCCCTTCCACTTCTTCATGTTACTATCGTCCGGTTTGCCGCTCTTGGCCACCGGCGGTGCGGGCTTCTCCTCTAGCTCGGTCCCGCATGGCGGGTGAGCGGACTGGTAGGCTGGATTCTTGTAGCTGAAGCCAGGATTGTCGCTCGGAATATGCGGCATACTTGCCGGTTCCTTAGGAAAACTGTCCCCGCATTCCACTTCCGTACTCTTGACGTCGTCGTTACCCAAGTTGTACGTTAAATTCGGGGCATCTAAAACGTCTGCATCGAGATTGTTCAGTTCGTAGGCGTTGTGAGCGAGGGAGAAGTTGAAACGGGGCTTCCTACAGGCGACGGGAGTCTGGTTGGGGTTGTAGAGGTCCAGCGAGCTGGGCCTGGACGGTCTGTCGCCGTCGTCGGGGTCGATGGTGAAGAGATTGATGTCGTCGTCGTAAGGGAGCGAGCATTTCTGGAGCAAACCTTCGTGGAACTGCTCCTCGTTTATCAAGTATTTCATCGAAACGTCGGTCATTTGGGAAGCATCAGATGGACAGGCCTGGCGACGGAGTCGACGAGGCGAAGAAGTCGGGGACTGGGTACACTTGTACGTAGGGTGGTTGCTGGGGATGAGCTTTCGTACGGCTATGTCGTTCAGCATGTCTACGGCTTCTTGCCTGGAATCGAGTCATGAAAAACATTTTCCAATGAAAGTGATCGAGTTGGCGGTAATTTTATTATACGAAAAAGTAAGGTTAGGTTATATCGTTCGGCGTTCTTGGCTGTCGTACAAATGTTTACAAAAATCAGCGCCAAAAAGATTTTTCAGTTAAACACCCGATAATCATCGAAATAGCAATTTGATTAAAAACTGTGTTAACATTTAAGATCCTAGAATTTAGAGTAGAATTCACTGCTAGTAAAACTCCGCCACCTCGAGAGAAATCCCGGGCTTTTAGGGAGAGAACTATATACTGTTCAGGATGTTTTTAGGCAAAGGTAGGCCATCTAAACAGAAAATATGTTCCTACTCTCATTATTAATTCTTCACGCTTGAGTTGGGAACTATTTTTTTCATTTGCAGGTAGCACCTTTATTGAAATTTTAAAAAATCAGTTTATCCAACGTGACGAAAAAATTGCATAGGTCACTTTGTCTAAAAACATCCTGCGTTTAACAATGGCGTGTTTAACAGTTGCCTGGTCCTCATGCGAGCGAGTTCAGTAAAATACCTCAAGTTAGTCTTTTTCGAGAAGGAAGTCCTTGGTGTGGTTTCTGTTGGCGAGAGAGCAGCCACTGGAGTTTGCGCCGAGTCCCTGTACAACCGCAACTTGACCACGTCACCGCATTGTCTAAGAAACTGTACAGCCTGTTCGTGAGACATCGACGAAATTTCAACCTCGTTCACCTATAGAGAGGATTTTAGTTGCGGAAAGCGCTGAATGCTGAAACTTACAGCTATAATTTTGTCTCCTGCTCGGATCCTGCCATCCGTGAGAGCAGGTTCACGCACTAGAGCTCTTACGTAATGTCCTAAAGCACTATCGTCTTCTTTACGTAACGTAAATCCTAGAGATCCCTGTATTTTGGTCAGCGTCACCTCAAATTCCTGCAAAGCCGACTTTGTAACATCTATTTTCTTTTATTTTCAACTGATTATTTCCCTCGTGTCAAGTTATTAATTAGTTTCTGGTCTGATGCGAGTATAATCGTGACTACACTCCAATTGGGAAACACTTTTAAGAGACAAATTACGTTAATTGCTCAAATGGTTAAATGACTGAATTGCATCCAAGATGTGGTATGACAGTTACGTGTCTGCTTGTATAATTGAAAATCCAACACCTGTTTATGTTTGTTGATAATATAATAGCAATCCCGGATGGTTGATTAAAATTAATGCAGTTGGATGAATGAATGTATAACGCTTTAAGCAATTGTGACAAACGCACAATAGTTTCAGTTTATGAATATCATCATCAACAATAATCCTTTGAGGACTTCACCGTCTTAGTTGTAAAAAGCTAAAATAATTTTTTTGAACTGACTTTTTTTGTAGTTTTAGGATAAAATTTTCAGTATAGCCCTCAGCCATAAATTAAGTTCTTTTTCCCAGGAGCTTTTAGTAGTTGCCGAAGCTGCTGTAAACTGCTCTAACAAACACAATAAACTGAAAATCGCTATAAAAGCAGACATTTTATATCTGTTACAGACTATTCGAGCCACGATTTGTTTTTCATTTGTCGTTTTTGTTTAATTTTTGTGGCTTAGTTCCTATATGAGGAAAATCAACCGCAGGGAATTTCGGTTCGCCGAGAGAACAAAAATGCAATTCTGCGCTATTAACTGAGACAAAAGACAAGGTATTTTTATGAGGCAAAAATAAATAATTCCATCAAGCTAGGAAAACAATGTGTTGTTGTGAGACGTGTTTAGCAGCGAGGCGAAACAGAACAAAAAACAATAATAGCACAGCAACGACTAAAGCTCTTATTATTTTGGTATATTTTTAAATAAACGCTGAAAATACAAGAAGAAATGGGGAGGTTTTTTGTGGATTATAAAAAAAAAACATGATACAGAATTTCAGTTATTTATGGAATACGCAGAAATGAATAAGTTTCTACGTATTTTTTTATGGAAATCTGACAAAAATGTTTATTTCTTACACAAGCAGAATTGTTGAATTATGTGTGTAATTAGCTGGAGAATTAGTGCAGAGAGAAAGATAAATGGTGCTTTGGTGGAAAAGTGCTCCTAAATATTAATTATATTAATTTAAATTGCAGAAAATTATAAGTTTAATTAAAAAGAATTATATAATTTGAAAAAATATTAAAAAAAAGTTCTGTTGTTCGTTCCCCTTTGACTTCGCATCGTACAAAACCCGTAAGCAATGTATTTTATATGTTGTCATTTATCAAAAATCTATCGATTTCTGAAGAAGTTTAATCTTACACAAATTATTATTATTATTAAGTTTTTGCAACTCTGCTTCTATTCGTATTAAAATTTGATTTCTATATATTAAAATGTCATAGTAAATCGAATTATTTCTGGAATTTTTATGACTATCAAAATTGAATTTTTTGGTTTTTTATTACGTTACATTTCAAAAACTCAAGGGTTTTGTACGTTGCCAGGTTAAACGGCACAAACGATAGATGGGTTTTATTCAGAAATTAAAAGACTTTCGGCTTCTACGTAAGAGGCATGTGGAACAGAATGTTCTAAGAAGTTTCATTTGAAAAGAAAAACCTGAGATTTTCAGAATGAGGTGTTAAAAATAACAGCTGACAAAGAGTCTAGAGAATTTTAAAATATTAATTGCGTAAGAAAATGTGAAGGAACTAATATCACGTCAGACAATAGCTGGAAAGGCAATAGAAAGACATATCGTCAATGCCGTTCTTGACAATTCTGCTAGAGTTTTGAAAGTTTTCGATTACAAATAAAAATGGCAGAATGTCAAGACTAGAAAAATTAAAGAGATGGATGAAAAGAGAGAAAAAGAGACAGAGCGAAGAGAAGGTGGTGTGCATGAAAAAAATGAGAAAATGAATGTTCAAGACATTGTAAGAATAACAAGAACAATAGTTTTCTATGATGAAATCAACGACCATATGACATGCAACCACGTAATCGACATCGGTGGGATTTTGTTTCTCGATCGAAGTGATAAATTATCACTTGCGATAAATGTCATTGCGTAGCTTTTAAATTCAAAGTTTGCATTTATTCTTTGCATATAAGCTTATTAAATACTCAAAAGTTTACAATTACCTTAATTTTAAGAACTTATAACTCAGAATTACGATTTTGAACTTCTATTTTGACATAAATTTCGAGGTTATGTCTCCAAAATTTATCACTTCACTCAGAGTTATCGAGAAAATATCACTCCATGAAGACTTGATTTCGTGACAGAATCGAGAAATGTGCCAGAAATGTCTCACCAACTCAGCCTCTCGACCAATCAGCAAACGAGATTTTATCGCTATCGAGTTTTTTTCGATCGAGAAACAAAAATCGTACCTCTGGTGAGAAAAAGAGGGGTCTGGAGTGAAAATCACAATCACATTCGTAAGATCTAAAAAACAGGATAGTTGTGCAAGAAATCAACGACAAAGAAACCGATTAAGTCAAAATAATCAAATCTAGACCAAATTTAATCGTATTTACGGGAACTATATGAACAATGTTGATACGTAGGATTGCCTAAAAAATGGTGTTTTTGATACGGCACTATTTAATATCTTATGGTCTAGATTTAGCAATAAAAGCACGCGAACTGTCTTTAAAATAAAATAAAACTGTAGGAATTTAATTCAAACTTCCAGAAGATTGCAAATTGGTAATTAACTTTTTTTTAATGACCATAGATACCTCGTCAAAATATTTCTATAATTTCCAGCCTCTGGCTTAAAAAAAACAAAATAGTGATACTAAAATTAGTTTACGTATGGTATGGACGTCTGAAACTTACCATTCAGACCGCAGTTGTGGCGAAAATGGCAAAAAATTGTGCAGAACAGAAATATTTATAGACACATGCGAAACTACCACCGTGTGATTTTTTGATTTGTGATCTAGTTTTCGCCGCCCATTACGTCACCAAATTACGTAGGTCGTCTCTTAGAACATACAGCTTGTGTTGTAGTGGGTTGCCTATTATCTCGTGTCTTAAGGTCGATTTAAGATGGATCATTTTGATTTCAATACAGTGAGTCATCAGATCTGATAACGGACTGTCAGTCAGTAGCGTAACATGCACACTTCACTTTATATTTTGCCTTTCTTTTCTGAATATACATGATATTCTTTGCACAACACGATACTCAAACATGTTTTTTATTTCTTGTATGAAAATAAAAATTTTGCAATTAAGCTTTGCCCCTTTGGCACACGACGAATAAAAAAATCATCACAATTGAGATAGGGCGGGTGGGCGGGGCTTACATTTTGCCTTTGTCCTTAATATGTGTACTCATCTTTAAACAACAAGAACGGTCTGACAACAAATGAAAAATTCATCACGATTGAGATCGAGATGGATGGGTGGAGCTTCTATTTGGTAATTTCTCGTAGAAAAATAAGGATTTTACAATTAAGCTCCGCCCCTCGGCCTACAACGAATAAAAAAAAATCATCAGAATTGAGATGGGGCGGGTGGGCGGGGCTTACATTTTGGCTTTTTTTCTTAATATACATAGCCATCTTTTCACAACAAGAAACTTAGAACATGGTTAAAATGGTACATTTTTGCAAAGAAATACGGATTTTGCAATTTCGGAGTCGAGCCTAATTGCAAAATCAATATTTCCTTATACGAATTTTCCATTTTAAACATGTTTTAAATTTCATGTTGTGACAACCAGTCTACACATATTAAAACGAAAAATCAAAATGTAAGCCCGCCCGCCCACCCTGTCTCAATTGTGATGATTTTTTTTTATTGGCCGTGAACCAATTAACTGCAAAATACTTATTTCTTTACAAGAAATAAAAAACATGCTTTTGAGTATTGTGTTGTTCAAAGAATACCATGTATATTAAAACAAAAGGCAAAATATAAACCCCGCCCACCCACCCCATCTCTATTGTGATGATTTTTTTTATTCTTGGAAATTTAACACGTTTAAAATGGCAAATGAAAACTTCATTACTATTTAGATCAGGGCAGGTATGAGTGGGGTTTAATCTTTGGCTTTAATTTTGTCTTAATATACATAGTATTTTTCGAATAACACGATACTCAAAAACATGTGTTACACGGTAATTTCTTGTAAACAAATAACAAGGATTTTGCAATTAAATTCCGCTCCGTTGGCTCTCCACGATTAAAAAAAATCATCACAATTGAGATAGGGAGGATGGGCGGGGCTTATATTTTGCCTTTTTTCTTAATATACGTAGTCGTCTTTTCAGAACAAGAACCTTAAAACAGGTTTAAAATGGTGAATTCTTGTAGACAAATATGGATTTTGCAATTAAGCCTCGTCCCTCGATCTTACAACGAATGAAAAATTTAGCACAATTGAGAATTAAGATCGGGTCTAATCTTTGGCTTTATTTTTTTCTTAATGAACATTTTAGTTTCTCGTAGAAATAAGGATTTTGCAGTTAAGCTCCGCCCCTTTGTCTCACGAAGAATTAAAAAGAATCATCACAATTGAGATAGGGCGGGAGGGCGGGGCTACATTTTGCCACTTCAACGTCAACAACAAATTTACAAATCCTACTTTAACAATATTAATTGTGGTTTGTTTTCATTTTCCCAAATTCGTTTCGCTTATTGTTTTGTCAATTTTCGACAAACATTAACCTTTTTTAAAGCTACATATTTATCTGACAGTGAATCGAAACTATCCAAGGGCGTTTGGCATAGAAGTAGAATTGTGATCTCAAGACAAGTTTTCTTTGAAGATTATAAGAAATTCATGCTTGAGTCTTATTACTTCCGTAATAAACAAGTGAATGGTGAATGGGTGTATGACCCTGTTTTCAGGAATTTCGCGAAAATTTCCTTGGTATTGTTTTTGAAGCCAATTTTTTAAGGACGCTCAGTTATGTGATAAAATTTCTGTGAGACTCATACCATTAAGAAAAAATCAGGAAGTCGCACATTGCGAAAACGTGGACTTGCAAATTCAACTTGTCAGAAAATTATTAGAAAGGTTTGGTTTCATCTATCCGGGTATATAAATTCGCAAAATATGACCATGTGGAAATGTGGAGTACAGAAAATCCTCATTATTTTGAAGAAACGCGTTAGAAAGTCACGGGTGCGAGATATATATATGAACATGCTGCAGAAATTTATTGACCAGCTTGGTCATGAAGAATTGCAGAAAGTAAATTTTCAGCATGACGGCTCAACAGCTCATACAGCTCAAATAAGTTTGAACTTTCGAAGGAAATTTTATGCAGACCGTTTAAGTAGCTCTTTCGACCAATTTATTTTAAATTAAAAACTGAGTCAATTTACAACCTACCTTTCGGCAACAAATTCTTGGGTCTAGATCACAAATCCAAAAAATTACCCGGTATAAATAATTACACAAATCGTACGGCAAATCCTACTACTGTTAATTTCTGAAGCTTTATCAACAACTGTAACAAAGTTAGGAAAAATGGGCGAAAAAAAATACTGTTGTGTACTTCAAATTAGGGTTTTTTTGTTGCGATTTTTCTTGCTTAAATTAACTGCAATAAAACTCTTGGAACGATTTTTCTTATCACAATTTGGGAACAAATAAGAATAGTACGTATATGTGTGACCAATTTGTAGAAAACAATATTCTACGCTAAAATTCTTATAACTAGTATTGTTCTTATTTTTAGATCGCATGCTTTTAACAATTTAAATAAATAAAAGTCTGCGACTCACATTGCACGGATCGCACGTGTATCTGCAGCAAATGTAGGTAAAAACTTTCCTCTGCTGTTCGGGCGTTTCAGGTACCTGAAACCGCAATTCCATGACCACCAAACCCCATTAGAATTAATCCGTCCACGGCGTATTTTTAAATAAATAATTTTAATTCGGGAAATAATCTCGTATGAAAATTGAGCAATTCAGCGCCAAAATTTTGTCAACAATTTCGCACGTATTTAGCCCGAAACAGTGAGTGACTTACGCCGTGATAATAGTCATCCTCTGGAGTACAGTACATCTCCGACGAATGCAAGTTAAGACTAGTGGGCGGTTCTCTTCTTGGTGGCGGCGGAGGAACTTCGGATATGGGACTCACACAGCTCAGTACGTCCGGAGGAGGTCGACACACCTTCAAGTCGACTTGGTTAGGTGCAGTTCTTAATACTTCTAGAGCCTCCTGGAATTTGCATCTTTAATTAAATCTCACGACCCCACCGGCTGCCTGAACACACCGGGCACATTTCGCAGGCAACATCTTGTTCTCGCAAATTAATCCGGCGAAAAAGTGCCCTAATGTCTCTTGTTGGCAAACTATCCTAGACGGGTTCTTTGTGACGAGTGTTTTTGTTAATGCGGAAAGTTGCGAAATTCGCGCCTTTAAAGCGTACTTACATAATTTGTAAGGCCGGTAAGCGTAATTCCGTTAGCTTCTATTAAGAGATCCCCTACGTTTAAAAGACCACAGGCCGACGCTGGCTGATGTGGGAACAGTCTTTTGATTCGTATTAGCCCAGGCCACGAGCCGCCGCTGTCAATACCACCGGTCACGCTCAAACCAAGACCTCTTGAACTTTTCGTTAGTTTCACAATGAAGGTGCTTTCTGAAACGACGAAAACGATATGAAAGAAAAATGGAAAAAATAATGATCTGCTTGCGAAATTAGCCAAATCGGACGCCGTTCGATCAGCTGCGAGTTCACACAAGGGTGGGACGTAACAAGGATGCCTAAATAAATATTCGCGGTGAATGGTTCACATTCTACGACGATTGTGGTTAAGGATGAGCATTTTCTTGATTAATAATAGCATTATTATTTTGACAGAGCAATTTACAAAGGCAGCAAAGCCCTCTTATATTCACATTCGAGGGCAGGTTTCGCAAATTGGAGGGAAGAAAGAGGACACCTTTAAATAATGCGATAGACATGAACAGGAGGAGCATTGTGAATAGCTCTGCCGCGTTCAGAGATAATGTCGCGTATATTTTTAATCTTCTTTGGTGGATTTGCTTCGTGCACTTCTAGATTCTCCATCTCAGACTTATCTTTAACTAATGGGAGCCCCATACATTATTTTTTATGTCCGAAGCTTCCGAATGTATACGTCCTTTTCCTTTCATCTTTCGAGCGTTCTGTGTGACAGACATTTAAATTGAACGCTGAAATACGGGTAGCCCTTATACATTAACTTGAGAGCAAGTTACAATAAAAAAGGGACTAATTCTAAATCAAATAGGGCAACATTATAATTACTAGTAGTTTAACTGCGTCCCTTCGAAATCTATGGATACACGTTTATAAAAAAAATTCTGTGGTCCCTCATCAAGTACCTAGCGGCGATGAATAAATAAATTTTAATTTGGGCTTTGTAGTCATTAAATCAATGTTAGTTCTTACCAATATTTCAAAGTCGGTTATGTAAGCACCAGATTTATACATTTCACAAGGCACATTATTACATCATAGCGATAGAACCATTTCAGGATTATATTTTAAATGAAGCTTTAATTTTAATACGTCATCCGAAATTTCAAATTCAGTTCCGTGAATATTCGGTTTGTGTGTAACAAAAGAGCTAACAAACAGCCAGACACTTGGGAAACGCATATTTTCGTATCCTTTAAGTTTGGAAACGCGTTAGTACGATTTCTCATTTTACGCTCCTGTACTTAAAATAATAATAATAATAATAACGTATCTATTTCAAAGTGGCCATAAAGTAATGCATAGCATGACCAAGCAATGCTTCAATCATTTTTAACGAGGTATAGAAATATTTCAAAGAAGCATGAAATTATTGTTTTGACGCATTTGGTTTCGTTATCATTATTACAAATTTCAACCTATATTTCCAGCATGTCTGGAAGTTCCCGTTAGCTTAACAATGGAGTTCACAAAAAGTCTTAATTTACGCAAAAAATGCTTGTATGATTATTTTTACTCACGATCGCAATGTAAGAAAGTATTGTAAGCGAGTACAGTAGCGACTGCCTAATTTCATATTTTCTCGACGTTTCTTGACCCATACAGTTCGGAAAAATAGGTCTGTCTATCTGTCTATACGAAATTACTGGGCCGATTGTTGTCAAATTTTATACGCATTTTAGGAATATCATATAAATGGTAAAACGCTAACCAAAATTTGACTGATCATCCAAAGCAACAACAGAATGACGTCATCTCCATGTTGTACAACAGTAGACGTTATTTAAATTTTGTAAAATATACTCCCAATGTGGTTTATGAATCCGTGGTAAGTTTTTACCCTCGGCAAACAAATTTGTGGAAAAAAAATTAAAATTGTATATATAAAAACATTTTACAATTTGACATTGCAAGATCGAATGCTTTGAAATTTTTCAAACGTTTTAAGGTTGTCAGAAACATGGTAAACCAATGTTAATAAGTACGGTAGTCTTGAATTTGTGGTTAATGAATCCGTGTTGAATTTTTATGATAGACATCTGGACTTTTGGAAAAAAATCAAAATTATATCACGATTTTTCGATTTTTTAACTTCCGTTTTCTCAATTTTTCGATTTCTCGATTTTCAGTTTTTCGATATTTTGATTTTAATATTTCTTACATTTCGTTTTTTAAATTTTCCGATTTTTCGTTTCGATTTCTCGATTTTTTGCTTTTTCGACTTTTTGATGTTTTGATTGCTCGGCGTCTCAATTTCTCGATCTTTCAATTTTTCGATTCTTCAATAATTTTTCAGTTTTTCGATTTATCATTTATGAATTTTTCGATTTTTCCTTTCGATTTTTTGATTTCTCGATTTTATTTACTTTTTCGATTTTTCGATTTTTTTACGTTTCGATTTCTTGATGTTCCGATTTTTGGAATTCTTGGTTAATTTTTTGGGTTTTTCGATTTTTAAAATTTAGATTTTTCGAATCTTAATTTTTTGGTTTTATGCCATTCCGATTTCTAGATCTTTTGATGTTTGTTTAGATTTCCCAGACTTTTCCATTTTTCGTTTCAATTTCTCGATTATTTACTTTTTCAATTTTTGACTTTTTATTTTTCCCATTTTTCGACCTTTCGAGTTTTTGATTTTTCGTTTGATCGGCGTCTCAATTTCTCGATCTTTCAATTTTGCGATTTTTTGGTTTCTCGATTTTTTTACCTTTTTGATTTTTCAATTTTTCGATTTTTTTACGTTTCGATTTCTTGATCTTTCGATTTTTCGAATTCTCGGTTATACATTTTTTGGGGTTTTCGATTTTTTAAATTTTAATTTTTCGCTTTTGCGCTAACTATTTCCATTTCTTGATCTTTTGATGTTTATTTAGATTTCTCGGTTTTTCAACTTTTCGGTTTTTCGATTTTTTGATTTCTATTTTTCGATATTTCACTGTTGAGATTTTTTTAATTTTCGATTTCTGGATTTATCACGAATTCGATATAACGACGGTTATTCAATTTTCCAAGTTTTCGATTCAATTTTTTGATTTTTCGATTTATCGATTGCTTTAAATTTTCATTCTTTAATTTGTCGATTTAATGCTATATATTTCGATTTCTCGCTTTTGCGACTTCTCGACTTTTAAATTTCTCGATTTCTCGACCTTTTGTGGTTTTGATTTCTCGATGTTTCGATTTTCGATTTCTCAGTTTTTCGATTTTTTGACGCCACAGCTTTTCAATTTAAGAATCTTCCAGTTTTTCGATTGTTCGACATTTCAATTTTTTGATTTTCCAGTTTTTCAATTTTTGAATTTTTGGATTTTTTTAATTTCAGATTTTAGGATTCTTTGATGTTTTAATGTAGCTATTTTTTTATTTTAATCGACATCTCAATTTTGAAATTTTTCGATTTTTGCCCTTTCAACTCTTCAACTTCCGTTTTCGCACTTTTTAGATGTGTTCGTTTTGGGGCTTTTAATTACACGATTCTTCAATTTTTCGTTTCGATTTATTGATTTCTCGATTTTTTTAGCTTTTGATTTCTTGATCTTTCGATTTTTCGAGTTCTTGGTTATAGATTTTTTGGGTGTTACGATTTTAAAATTTTGATTTTTCGATTTCTCGATATTCGGTTGTTTTTTTATATTTCCCGGTTTTTCAATTTTTCGGTTTTTCAATTTTTTGATTTTCCAATTTTTCATACTTCAATATTGAGATTTTTTTAATTTTACAATTTTTCGCTTCAATTTCTCGATTTTTTACTTTTTCGATTTTCCCATTTTTCGATTTCTCGGCGTGTCGATTTCTCGATCTTTCAATTTTTCAATTCTTCAATTTTTCTTCGATTTTTCAGTTTTTCGATTTATCGATTTATGAATTTTTCGATATTTCAGTTTTGGGATTTTTTAACATTTCGATTCTTCTGTTTCGATTTTTTGATTTCTCGATTTTTTTACCTTTTCGATTTTTTTACATTTCCATTTTTCGAGTTCTCGGTTATGGATTTTTTGGGTTTTTCGATTTTTTGATTTCCAATTTTTCGATATATCAATGTTGATTTTTTTTATTTTTCGATTTTTTAAATTGTAGATTTTTCAATTTTTCGTTTTTTGACTTATCAATTTCTGCATTTATCAAGATTTCGATATTACGATTTTTCGATTATTCAATTTCCCAAGTTTTTAATTTGTCAATTTTTTGATTCCTCGATTTATCGCTTGTTTTAAATTTTCAAAATTTGCAATCTTCAATTTTTCAATTTTATGCTATTTATATTTTTCAATGTTTCGATTTTCTGATTTCTGGGTTTTTCGATTTTTTGACTTCTCTGCTTTTCGATTTATGGATCTTTTCGATTTTTCTGTTTTTCAATTTTTGAATTTTTGGATTTTTTAATTTTTCGATTTTAGGATTTTTTGATATTTTGATGTAGCTATTTTTTAATTTTTTGTTTTCTTGATTTTCCAAGTTTTCGATTTCTTAATTTTGCAACATTTCAATTTTGGGAATTTTCCAATTACTATATTTTTCAATTTTTCGATATTTTTGATGTTTGATTTTATTTTTATTTATATGATTTCTCGATATTTCGATTTTTCAAAAAACATTTCCTGCCGCTGGTAATCTGCTTTAAATATATTTCATATTGTCCACACTTGTATGGACCGCATCCCCTTGGAATTTGCGCCCCCATAGCGCAGGGGCTGCGGGAGTGTTCTCAGAAAACAAAAATCCCAAAAAATTTTTATTAATAATTTTCCACCAATTTTTTAACGCACTGTGCTTCGATAAGGACCCATCTATTTATTTTCATCGTTTTTCCACATTTTCAGCATGTTCCAACATTTGTACCACTATTTTCGGTTGGTTTTTAATATATCAGTCATAAACAACTTTTAAATACAGTACCGACCACTTAAAATGTGTTAAGAGGCTAATGTTTTTCCATATCCGTCTATACCTTGAAATCATTTTTTGAAATGAAATTGTATTGTTTCAGACTTCGGGGAAATTCCTAGGACGATGATACCACTCGGCGTAATCTATACTCGTATTTTTTGAGGTGGGTATTTTTTCGTTTTCGTGTAGGCGTACACTAACGAGTGCGTATTTGGGGGCGGCAGTAAAAGGTCCGGGGAAAGATTTTGAATTAGAGTTCCGTGCTTTAACCGCAATCCGTGAGCTCTTGTTTAATTATCCCTGTTCCTTTTTATTTCAGCGTTGAGCCAGGTTCCCGTACAACCATCAAAAAGGACCAATCAGCCATTTAGGTCAATCCAGAGTGATCTATTTTACTGCAAACCACCAAGATTGACGTGTCCCTCCGCATTAAAGGGCTTAATTGAAGGGCCGAGGGAGTAAGTTCGCTGCGAGTGGCACTAACGATTAAATAAAATCGATGTTTCAAACGCACTTCGAGCTTTTTGTGCCGACACCGATATCGAATGCAACACGGAGAAGTGTTTCTGGGTAATTTCCAGAATAAATTCCGATGCTTGCAGAGGTATACATAATTCCGTAAGACGGATGTTTGCAGCGCCTGCGGCGGATATATCATGGAGTTGTTTGTGCAAAGTTAGTACTTATTACATTTCCCAAGATGCTGGTAAAATATCATATAACGCTCTCTACTGTACACACTACATTACACTGCATACATAATGGGGGCCTCTACTTCCATCATCCGTTTTTGTTCCATATCCTTAATAACGTGAGAGACGAAAATGGAGAAAATTGCTCGCCGCAACTGCCACCGCCACCCCCGAACCGCCGGACCGATAAAACCGCCACAAATCATTCGCAGTTAGTAGCCGGCTTGTTTCATCTTGGATTCTCCATTGACTTATGGCCGATAGTAAATTTGCAAGGGATACCCATCCACTTGCAGAAAAAACGCCATTACGTAACCTGGAGATCCTTTCGACACCCCAACTGCGTGTCGACGTGCTATACAAGCTCCATAACTGCTTTAGATGAAAATATCCAGATATATTCGGTACCCGTACCCGTAAACCCAAAAGTAGTAAATTTTTTCACTCTCGATAGAAAAAAACGCAGAATTTAGAAGACGGCAAAAGTTGAAAGAGTTTCGTCATTTATGTAATTCATGTACGTGCAAAATATAAAAGAAAGAACAAAGATTAAGCACAATGGCTCAAGAATATATAAAGTTTCTTGATTGGTTTGGTCAAGTTGTGCAACTATCACAACCTAGAAAAAGAGCTGCTTGGATCAATGATGGATATCCGAAACAAAAAATTGTTCGAAACTTTATAGAACGTAAATTGATAGGACTGCAGCGTTTCTGCCAAGAAAATAAACATAATAGACTATAACCCAAAATTATAAACACAAGAATCAAGTTAAAGCCTTCTGGAAGTTGTCATTAATTGATTAAGAAAACCAACTGGACTATATTTTTAAGTTCTATTAAGTTCTCAACAGAGACAACATAATCTGCTGATATGAATAACAACACTGACAATAATGTCTTGTTCTTCGTGAGATAAATGTCCTAAAACCGATGGAGATACTGAACAAAAGGCAAAATATCAAGATCGAACAGGCATGATGAAGCAAAAATTTTGACGATGACTAGGTGGATAACTTTTTTCACAATGACAACTTCGTATTGGCATCAATAGTCACAAGTTTAAAGAGCTTGACCTTTTTTACCAAGTATTGTAGTAGACGCGAGATTGAACGCTCCTCAGAATTTCCCCGTCCAATAAATAAAATTTCTTCGAAAAGTTATAAAAAACTTGATTCGGCGAAATTTTATTTATTTTATGAAAACCCCTACAAGTTAAAAAATTGTCGACGAGGATGGGATTTGAACCTACGCGTGCAGTGCTCACCCACGCGGGGAACGTTCAAGTTCAACGCCTTAATCACTCGGCTACGACGTATTTGTTTCTACATACGCCAGATCTCAACTACGTGAGCACGTCGCACAAATATTTTTGTAATAAAGTATCAAGGCGGATTCATAAATCACAAATACAGCAGCGTATATTTTACAAAATTTAGAAGGTATTTACTAGGCAAATTGTTGGGGGAAGGGGGGTGTTAAACATATTTTAGCTGTTTTAGAATCTCCACTATCTTGATAAGATACATTTGAAATTTGACAAGAATCAGTCCGGTGGCTTCGGAGATTATCTTTCTAATTAAAACGACACTGACGGACACAAGAAACCATTTTTTCTCATACTCTAGAAGTAATGAAACAGTGAGAAAACATGAAGGTAGCCGTTCACGGATAATCCCTGTTACAATACTTCCTTAGCTTATACTCGGAAAGTAAAAAAAAAAACAACAATTAGAGAAAAATCGAATTTAAAACCCTTATAGAAGTTACCTGGTTAACTTCGAGTATTTATGTTTATATTTAGGTTAGCTAATTCAGCAATCGGCCAATTATTTGTTTTTATCTATTTTATTTTTTGGTGGACCACCTAACCGAACCTAACTTGACACGCCAATATGGAAACAAGCATTTATATTTATACTTCGAAAGAATTCGATTACAATCACGTACAAGCATCAGCGGCCGCATAAAAGAAAATGAAATTTAATTGATTGCCTCCTTAAAACAGGGGAGTGGATGCACCGATTATACAGCAAAACGGTCCGAAAATTATTTTGTTATTGTAATAAGAATTGTTTGCGGTTTGACAGTAATTTTCGAGTAAATGAGGGACGCCCTTATTCGAACGTTTGTTTGGCGCAGCGAATATTGCAGAAACATTTTTATAAAATAATTGTTCGATTCGTAAACTACAAGTGTCTGAGTATATGATTTTATAAAATTAAAAAAATATTTATTGTTAAAAATTTGGTGGCATCACGTTTTTGGTGGAAATGATTAGATAAATTTTGATTGGCATTTAACCATCTACATGATATGCCTAATATGAATACAGAATTTGACAACAATCCGTCCAGTAGTTTCGAAGATTACGTGTTTTACAAAAATGGACACAGAAACCAGTCACACAGACAGACAGACGGAAAGGGGGGCCTACTTTTTTCGTACTCTAGAGGTTATGAAACGTCGAGAAAACATAAAAGTGGCCGATAGTCCGATGGATTCGATTACTAGTACTTACCGACTAAGATAAGACTGATTTTGGCGAATGATATGCTCTCTAAGAAAATAGTGGGCGGGTGGGCGGGGCTAGTATTGACTAAAATAAGACTGATTTTGGCAGATGAAATACCCTCTAAGAAAACAGAGGGCGGGTGGGTGGGGCTAGTACTCACTAAGATAATACTAATTTTGGCAGATGATATACCTTTTAAGAAAATACAGGGCGGGTGGGCGGGGCTTCTACTTGCTAAGGTAAGACTGATTTCGGCAAATGATACCTTCTAAGAAAATAGAAGGGTGTATCATTTACCAAAATCAGGCTTATCTTAGCAAGTACTATCCCCATTAACCCGCCCTCTCTTTTCTTCGAGGTTATGTTATTCGCCAAAATCAGTATTACCTTAACATGTATTAGCCCCGCCCACCCGCCCTTTTTTTTCTTAGACGGTGTGTCATCAACCAAAGTCAGTCTTATCTTAGCAAGTAAAGCCTGTCCGCTCCCCCTGTATTTTCTTATAGATTATTTGAAAAAGTCAGTCTTATCTTAGTAAATACCAGCCCCATTCATCTGCCCTCAAGAAAATAGAGAACAGGTGAGCAGGGCTAGTACTTGCTAAGATAAGACTGATTTTGGCAAATGAAATATCCCCTAAAACAATAGAGGGCGGGTGGGTGGGGCTAGTACTTGTAAAGATAAGACTGATATTGGCAAATGATCTAGCCTTTAAGAAACTAGAGGGCGGGTGGGCGGGGCTTGTACTTGTTAAGAAAGAAGTGATTTTGGCAAAAGATACCTTGTACAGAAGGGTGTATCATTTACCAAAATCAGTCTTATCTTAGTAAGTACTAGCCCCGCCCACCCGCCCTCTCTTTTCTTCGGGGTTATGTTATTCGCCAAAGTCGGTATTACCTTAACATCTATTAGCCCCGCCCACCCGCCCTTTTTTTTCTTAGAAGGTATGTCATCAACCAAAGTCAGTCTTATCTTAGCAAGTAAAGCCCGCCCGCCCGCCCTGTATTTTCTTATAGGTTATTTGAAAAAGTCAGTCTTATCTCAGTAAATACCAGCCCCATTCACCTGCCCTCAAGAAAATAGAGGATAGGTGAGCAGGGCTAGTACTTGCTAAGATAAGACTGATTTTGGCAAATGAAATACCCTCTAAAAACACAGAGGGCGGGTGGGTGGCGCTAGCACTCACTAAGATAAGACTGATTTTGGCAGATGATATACCCTTTAAGAAAATAAAGGGCGGGTGGGCGGGGCTTATAGTTGCTACGGAAAGACGGATTTTGGCAAATCATACCTTCTAAGAAAATAGAAGTGTGTATCATTTACCAAAATCAGTCTTATCTTAGCAAGTACTATCCCCACTCACCCGCCCTCTCTTTTCTTCGAGGTTATGTTATTCGCCAAAATCAGTATTACCTTAACATGTATTAGCCTCGCCCACCCGCCCTTTTTTTTCTTAGACGGTATGTCATCAACCAAAGTCAGTCTTATATTAGCAAGTAAAGCCTGTCCGCCCGCCCTGTATTTTCTTATAGGTTATTTGAAAAAGTCAGTCTTATCTTAGTAAATACCAGCCCCATTCATCTGCCCTCAAGAAAATAGAGAACAGGTGAACAGGGCTAGTACTTGCTAAGATAAGATTGATTTTGACAAATGAAATATCCTCTAAGAAAATAGAGGGCGGGTGGGTGGGGCTAGTACTTGTAAAGATAAGACTCATATTGGCAAATGATCTAGCCTTTAAGAAACTAGAGGGCGGGTGGGCGGGGCTTGTACTTGTTAAGAAAGAAGTTATTTTGGCAAAAGATACCTTGTACAGAAGGGTGTATCATGTACCAAAATCAGTCTTATCTTAGTAAGTACTAGCCCCGCCCACCCGCCCTCTCTTTTCTTCGGGATTATGTTATTCGCCAAAGTCGGTATCACCTTAACATGTATTAGCCCCGCCCACCCGCCCATTTTTTTCTTAGAAGGTATGTCATCAACCAAAGTCAGTCTTATCTTAGCAAGTAAAGCCTGCCCGCCCGCCCTGTATTTTCTTATAGGTTATTTGAAAAAATCAGTCTTATCTTAGTAAATACCAGCCCCATTCACCTGCCCTCAAGAAAATAGAGGACAGGTGAGCAGGGCTAGTACTTGCTAAGATAAGACTGATTTTGGCAAATGAAATACCCTCTAAAAAAACAGAGGGCGGGTGGGTGGCGCTAGCACTCACTAAGATAAGACTGATTTTGGCAGATGATATACTGTTTAAGAAAATAAAGGGCGGGTGGGCGGGGCTTATAGTTGCTACGGTAAGACGGATTTTGGCAAATCATACCTTCTAAGAAAATAGAAGG